ATTATTATTATTATTATTATTATTATTATTATTATTATTATTATTATTATTATTATTATTATTATGTTTGTGAATATTGTTGACGGTGTAATGATTCGTATAGCAATGTTAATGTTGATGATAAACATTACCGAGAAAGCTTTCCATTCTCCACGGGCTTTTCTTTTGTCAAGTGGTTGACGAAAGTATTGATCCGAACCGGTATACGAAGAGAAGGCCATCACGGGATTTTTGGTCAAACTTTTTCGAATTTGCGATAATCGATCGAAATCGTCGGAAGATAATCCCGAGAGAGACGACGCACGTAACTCGGTAATTTCTTTATCGGCGCGTCATTTCCTAAAAAACAGTTCGACACAGTTTCAGGTCAATTCGTAATTTGCAATTTATCTTCGAGATTAACAAATTTTTCAAAATCTTTAAGTATTTACAATTTCACAACAAGTTTTCTTATTATTCAAGCTTTTTTTATATTTTCATAATAAAAATAAAAGGATCTTTTTGAAAAACAAAATTCGATTTCTTCTTATATACATTTTAAGAATATAACATAAAAAAATCTAAAAGAAAAATTTGTTTTTTTTTCAAAATTAATTATCAAAATCGAATAAATAATTTTTCATATTTGCGTAAGTAAAAAATTAATTGCGTTGAAACTTTTGTTATTCTATACATCATTAGTTATAGTTGAGACTAAAATTATAATAATATCTACATATTTACTGACTAAAAAAAAAATGAAAAACATTGAAAGAAAGTTGACAATTTTTCATATTTCAACTTTAAGCGCAAACATTTTTTTTTTTTTTTAATTCTTTTTTATTTTAACTTATATTATAGGGGCAGTCATAAGAAATAAGAATATACACCGAATGGATTAGTAATTTTGTGCAGAATGAAGATAATGCAAGATTTTCTTAAACATAAGAAAGGTGAAATGAGAGTTAGCAAATATACGAAGAAAACGAGTATAAGTTTTTGCAATAGCTTCCCTTACATTTATTTGATAATACTTCCAAGGTTCAGGTATCATTCTGAATATTGATTTTTCCTTTTATTGGACGAACGAACAATATTGTACACGATTTTAACACTATGCTTAATAAAAGTTTATTTATATCAATTTTGATCAATAAAATTACAAATAAAACATTCGAATATTAAACAATCCATTTGATATTGGCTTGAATAATAAATCAAAACATTTGTTAATAAAAATAAATATTTTTATAATATTGTATTAATAATAATAATTATAAATATAATAATTATTAATTAATATATATAATAATTATTAATAATTAATAGATATAAATAAATATTATTATTATTATTATAATCATTTCAATTTGAAATTAAAAACCGATTATATGATCGATCGTGATACGTTTATTTGTCAATGTTACAAGATGGCAATGATTGATAGAGGGTGGTAAATCAAAATAGCTGAGTGAAATAAGGGGTTGAGTATGTTTGTATATCACGTACTTCGAAATTCTATTAATAATCTATCTATTCATGTGTCTTTTTACGATGGCAACCAATACGACCAAAATAATATACCGAAGTGCTAATAAAACGTATATTTGTTAATAATGGAAGGAAGCATTGCAACCACTGTTTCTTTGGTATATTAAGAAGACAGATATATGATTCGCATAAAAAAGAGTTTTATGATCTTTAGCGTTGAAAGTTCTGCTCTTCAAATACGTCAAACATATCTATGATAAGTACTCTTAAAACAGATTATCATTGTCAGAATATATATTTGTTGTTTGTATCAACATTTACGACTGTACGATACAAATTTACTTTTTACGACGAAGGTATTTAAAAGTATTCATAAAACATATTTCATTTTAAAATCTTAAAAAGAAATTAAATGTTATATTAATATATATTTATATACGTTTTAATTATAACAATAATTAATATTACTTATTTTATAATATGTAACACATGATAATTTTGTAAATTAATTTTATTCGCAATTTTATTATATTTATTTTTATCACAATAAACGATTTTGTAAAAATAACAATTAACAATTGTTAAATTAAATAAATAATAAAATAATTAAATTCTTAATTTTCTACATAATATAATAATATTAATAAATTTTTTATTGGAAAAGATAGATAGCAGAATGAAGTAAAAGCAGCCTTCGTAAGTTTGATGTACTTGCATTAGTGTAAGTGTGGTTGTCATAATTCCATGGTTTTCTACATTATATATATATATATATTTGTTTCTTTATTTTTATTGTTCTATGTTCATAAATATATTATTATATAACAATGCAGATAGATCATAAGACTTTTTGTTTGTCAACAAAATAGATCCCTCAAACCCGTATAAAAATAAACTAAAAAATTATAAATAAATTTTTTTAACCCTTTGACTATGGCGCGCTCTCGAATCAATCCATTAATATGAACGGCGCGATTTTCGCATGTCATTCGCTGCGACTGTTTTTCCATTGACTACTGACCAAAACAGATAATAATGGCAAATAAAATAAAAATATGAATTTTTTAAAATTTTCTTAAAGTAATTTTTTAAACTATTTTAATTTACTTTATTTATTTTGTGCATTCCTTCAATAATAATCAGTAATTTAAATATAAAAGAAAAAATACAAAATTTATAATGTAACACAGAGTATAATAACTTTAACAGAATATTTTAATAATTTGACCCTAATTATAAAAATAATTAAAACGATAATGAACGAATAAAGATAATAAAATTAAAATAGACGAATTTCAAATATAAAAGCAATTAACTAAACGACATTGAAAAAATTGCCAAAATTTAGTTGCTATGTTACATATCACAATAAATTCCATGTTAAATTAATCGGTAAAACAGCAATAAAGGTGTTATAGTAAAAAAATACAGAGGGCGTATATTTACGCCTTTCGTGCATATTGATGGATTTGTGAGAGCGTATACATACGCCTTTAGCAGTCAAAGGGTTAATTATTTGAGATCGATTTATACTGTAATAATTAATCACATCATATATTAATGTTTATTATTAACAATATAATCAAATGTGTTTAAGTGATTTTTTAAAATAAAAATTGGAAAAAATATAACACACTTCTTTATCAAATTTATTAAAATTTTAGATTTTCTCTGATGGAAACTAATTATATTAAATGTCGTTTATTCTTTTTTAGATAATACAAATGACAAAGCGTAATTTTTGTTCTTACCAAAAAATTATTATTCATTTTTTTCTTATCATAGCATTTGGTAATTCAATATTTGCATATTATACAATACGATTAAATATTACGTATTTATTTTCGAGATAATTTATTTTTTCAAGTGAAAAGCATACAAGATCAAAAAATATTGCACGAGATTCTCTAAAATTCAACTAAATTCATGTAATTTCAATAAAAATCAGCAATAATTAAATTTTTTTTCGAAATTATTCAAATAACTCAATAATCTTGGATATTCTTGAAACATATCTACAATACATGTTTGTAGTTGAAACATTAAATGATTCAACACTTGAAGACTATGTGATAAGATAAAAATATTTCTGATATTAAGTTTCGCCTATTAAGATAATTGATTTATAAATATAAAAAATAGGATGTATAATATGCTTATTTATATCAAGAAAACTATTACTTTCAGATAAACATAATACTTCAAACATTAAAAGTGAATATTTATCACGATCCTCAATAATGTAAGTATCAATTTCGATATTTAACGGTTTAAGTTCATTTTTATCAAAATTTTATGTTTAAAAAATTAGAGTTCTAAATTCTACAAAAAAAATTTCAAACAATTTCTCACTATGTCACGTCCTAGCTTTTGCCTTTCTAAATAAGAATAAATCTTGTTTTTTATTTTTCAGAAAATGCTTGACAGTGAAAACAAATCCACCATCAGCAAGGATGAAAAAAGTTCTACTAATGTTTCATATCTCCGTTATTTTTTCATTTATTTTATTCATTTTTATTTCAAATTATTCATAAAACTACTACGCATATGTATAAAATAAATATTATTTTACATACTTATAAAATAGCAACTTAATTCCCTAATTTTGTACATAAACTTAAATAATACATGAGTCTCACAGTAGAAGTAAATGTAAAGAGAATAGAATTGTGATGGAAATAAACCACTGAAGTACAAAGAGTTAAAAGGGGCACCACTAATGTGAAATTTTGAAAAAAACCGAATATTTTTTTTTGCATATTTCGGTAGACTATACCTTTAAAAATTATTATTATTATTAATTGGCATTAGGAACTCGAAAGTTCATTGCCGCAAATACCAAATCCCGCCATTGTCCCCGTCCCTGAGCGCGATTCTTCCATTCGCGGTCTTCGTATCCTATTTCTTTCAGGTCCCTTCTAATATTATCCTCCCATCTCTTAATCGGTGTGATTTTACGACGTTGATAATTTTCGGTCTATTGTAAAATTGATGTACTTCAACGTTATGGAGTTTTCTCCATTCGCCCGTTTCCTCATCGCGTTTTGCACCGAAGATTTTACGAAGAACTTTGTTTTCGATAACCCTACATTTCTTTTCGTCCCGTAACGTAAGCGACCACGATTCGCAACCATAAAAGACTACCGACAGGATGATTGTCCTGTATATCCTGATTTTTAATCGCCTAGACAGCAACTGCGAGCTGAGTAATAACATACTAAAATTTCAAGTGCCTATTTCAAATAGTTTTTGAGTTACAATCATCTGATATTTTTTGATTTATAACAATAAAACTAGTAACTTAAACTTTAAAAAAATTTTTTTTTTTTAGTAACTGAGAAAAACTATTTATTGAACCCATGACCTTCTTTTTTACTATCACACGCACACTTGCACACTTACAGTTATTCATTGCCATTTTGACATTCCCCCACCCCCAAAGTTCACCTGTGGCCGTCATCATCCCCTTGGAGGACCGCTTTATCGCCCACTTGGGGAATCACGGTTTTATATATATTTTTACATACAATGAACCTCCTGTTTTTCAATTGAATCAAAAATATAATTTTGGCAGGCCAAAAATCATCAAATTTGAGCGCGAAATTTGAAACTTTTTTTAAAAAATCCTCAATTTTATGTTAAATTTCAATTTTTCGTTTCGACCTCATGGTCGAACGTTTCGGTTCATGGTACGGGAAATTCTTTCTAGTTTAATAAACTTTTTGGTTTTTTTGATTTCATGCACTGTGAAGGTTGCCATAACTGCAGCAGTGGGGGGACTTTTTTTTGAGGGACCTTAGAAGATTACGAATAACTCACTTAATTTTCAATTTTTTGGTTCAAAAATTTTGTCATATATTCATTACATA